ATCTGTAATTTTAGGTCATTTGCTGAAAGCATGTTGACCTACAAAAAGGGATTAATTCTGTTTGATATATCATCATCATCATTCTGTACGATATACGAAAGGAAAATTCCATCTGGGTTAGCAAATCCAGTTATTTCTGGATCCCTCTAGTTTAACAGGTGGAATATCCATACTTTTTCCAATCCTCTTTTCAATCTGTCTTAAAATATTTTGAAACAAGCAAAGAAAAACAAGTGAAGGGAGGGAATATCAGGTTTCTTCCCAGAGTTAACTTCCTTTCTTTGTTTCTACAACAAGAAAAGTAATAAGTATAAATGTATACATAGTTGTGAATACATGAAATGGGTACATATAAGAAAAATAAAAGAATTAGAGAAACAATAGGACAGGGACGGTAGGCACATTGGTGCGCTTATGCACGCCCCCTACAGGCCTCTTAGGAAAGGGGTGAGGTCAATAGTAGAAAGTCTAAGGTTAAAGTTTTTGGGGTTTGGGGAAGAAACTACAGAGTCGGGTAGAGTATTCCAGACATTGACCACTCTATTGCTGAAGTCGTATTTCCTGCAATCAAGTTTGGTGCAGTTTACTTTGAGTTTGTATCTATTGTGTGCTCTTGTGTTGTTATGATTGAAGCTGAAGTATTCATTGACAGGTAGGACATTGCAATGTATGATTTTATATACCATGCTTAAGTCAGACCGAAGACGGCGTAATTCAAGGTTTTCTAGTTTTAGAATTTCAAGTCTGGTGGCATAAGGTATTCTACAACGAGTAGAAGAGTGGAGAACTCTTCTTGTGAAATATTTCTGGACTTTCTCAATTGTGCTAATATCAGATACGTAATGTGGGTTCCAGACTGATGAACTGTATTCGAGTATTGGTCTAGCAAATGTTTTGTATGCTCTGGTTAGTAGTGTGATATTACCAGAGAAAAAGCTACGTAGGATTAGGTTAACAACTCTTAATGCCTTTTTGGCTATGTAGTTGCAATGGGCTCTAGCACTTAGATCATTAGAGGTGAGTATTCCAAGGTCCTTTACAGAGCTTGGGTCATCAACAAGATCTTGACTATTCAGCTTGTATTTTATTTTCTGATTTTTTTTGCCAATATGTAAGACAGAGCATTTATTTGTTGAGATTTGAAGTTGCCATTTGTTTGACCATTCTGATACATAGTCAAGATCTTTTTGTAGGGTAGCAGTATTGTCTGTGGTATTGAACAGCTTTACATCATCAGCGAAAAGAACGCAATTGCTCTTAATATGATCACAGAGGTCATTTATGTAGAGTATGAAGAGAGTTGGTCCTAGAACACTGCCTTGGGGGACACCACTATTGACAGGTACAGACTTTGATAGGACGCTCCCAATTTTGACCATTTGTTGTCTGTTTGCCAGGAATGCTTCTATCTAGTTATTCAGTTGTCCAGAGATACCATAGGATTTTATTTTTAGGAGTAGTTTGTCGTGTACCACTGAATCAAAGGCTTTACAGAAGTCTATGTAGATTGCGTCTATTGCTTTGCCCTGGTCGAGTTGTGTCGTCCATATGTTTTTGCAGTGTAAGAGTTGCAGATTACAGGATAGTTTTTTTTCTGAAACCAAATTGTTTATTGGAGAGTAGGTTATTTGTCTCTAAGTGGAGGATGATGGATTGGTTAATAATTGATTCCATGACTTTACAGGTGATGCAGCATAAGGAGATTGGTCTGTAATTCTGTCCAACATTATCCCTCAAAAGATGTCAATTGCCAGAAAACAATTAACTCTTAATAGATGTAAAAAGACAACCAAGTATCTGAAATAAATGCCTTGATGATTCATTCTTGTGCACTTTAGATCAATCTGGTCAATATACTAAAAAAACCTGGTAGAAAAATGCCTGTCATCTCAGATAATATTATGCTACATTTCAATGTTATTTTTGTTGTTTTAACTTGTTATAAACTTGAGGTGTAAAAAAAAGAAAGATTCTTCCACTTGGAGAATGATGAAAAGTGAATATTATTAATCTCAGACCCCATCAGGAAAGTTTGGTTTTTATTTATTTTATTGTTTATTTTGTCAATGTATTAATAATCATGTTTACACTTATATCTGTTAAACAGATATAAGTATAAACATGATTATTCATACATGAAATGGGTAAGAATAAAAGGGAACATTAGGACAGGGACAGTAGGCACATTGGTGTGCTTATGTACGCCTCTTACAGACCTCTTAGGAATGGGATGAGGTCAACTGTTGACAGTCTAAAGTTAAAGTTTTGGGGGTTTGGGGAAGGAACCACATAGTCAGGTAGTGTATTCCAGGCATTGACCACTCTGTTGCTGAAGTCGTATTTCCTGCAATCAAGTCTGGTGTGGTTTACCTTTAGTTTGCATTTATTGTGTGCTCGCAAAAGTTTTTTTGAATGCAAAGCAAAACTTCACAGCATCTATTTTAACTTTGAAATTTGTTTATAGGGAGCTCCTGGCCCAAGGGGTCCGATGGGGCCTCCAGGAACTCCAGGTCCCCCAGTAAGTAATTTATTTCTGAATGAATTATTTGTAATCTGAATGACCTACTTGTCAAGTGTGAGTAGTCAGGAACCAAGGTTGTTCAGATGAGTGAAAGTTTATTCAATGCTAGCTCTCCACAAGAATCTAAACTACTAATAGTCAAGGCAAATTGGTGGTAGATAAGAGTCAATGGAATTCAAGAGAGGGCTGGACCTAGATCTTTTGTGGGCATGAGAGGACTCCAGACTGATGGCATACTTGACTCTTCCCTCAGGCTCAGACTGGTCATCTCCTACACCATAGTATACAAAAATAGAATGCATTAAACGTCATCTGAAACTAGACTATATTTCATTTTGAAATCAGGAAATAATTCAGTGGTGATTTGAGAAACCAGGTTTGAGAAATACTTCTGTTAAGGATGTAGGACAGGGGTGTCAAACTCATGTTGTCACGGTGGCATCACATGACATATCAGGGCTGTTTCCCCCTTCACTAAACTGGGTGTTGGTGTGGCCAGCCCATGGGCCAGAAATTTGACAGCCCTTATCTAGGAGAATCATTACACAATACTGGTTTATCAGATCAATAATATAACTTGAAAGAAGGTAGGTGCATATTTCAGTGATCATGGTATTGCATTTCTTGTCTGCATAATTTCATTACATAGTTGGCCTGGAGTTCCAATTGGGAACCACCATCCTGGCGGTGCCTATCGGATTAAGAGAAGACCTCAACACCTTTGTGTGTTTCTTGCTCCCTTTCCATCTTTTAAGTGTAAATTATTATTATTGTTATAATATTTACCAGGTTTTAATGTTTGTAAGCTACCTCTAAATGATACGGGCAGCATACAAATCTAATAAATAAAATGAACTAAATTCATTGTCCATGCAACTATTCTATCTCCTGTGTAGATCTTTGTCACTCTATTAGCAGAATTCTCAGGTTGGCTATCACTATTTGAGGGGGTTTGTTTCAGGTCTCCACTATTTTGGTTCCTAGTATAGGGAATAGCTATTTTTTTTTCTATGACATCCCCCCAAAATAGAAACCATTTAATGTCAATGGCCTTGTATGCAATGTAAAGGAAAAATATCTCGTTTTCAGGGATCACCTGGGTCAGAAGGCAAGATGGGACCTCCAGGTCTACCAGGTCTACGGGTGAGCAATCATTCTTGTTTTTAGATGCTTCCATCTAAAAACCTCTCCTTCCTAGAAGGGTTCTCTGCTGATCAGAAAAGAAAATGCTACCAATCTTACCCCCCTTTCTTGCTTTGAGCTTAGAAAATTATTTTAAAAATCTCTTGTTCCAAAGATCCTTCTTCAAAAGGCAATTGGACTTTGCTTTTCCTTGAAGACATTTCGCTTCTCATCCAAGAAGCTTCTTCAGTTCTGACCAAATGATGGAGGGTGAAAGGATTTATGTTCCTGGTTGTTTGGACACTTTCTGAGAGTCACTGAGGCCACCTGGAGGTTTATCTGTGCACTCAGGGTCACCTGAATAGTGCAAATAGGTGTGGAACTTTCTTGGAACTGCTAAAAAAAACTGTGTTGTAAACAGGAGATAAATGGTATCATGTTCTTTCGCCTCTGTTGATAGTGGGGGACAGATAAATTGCCAAGTTGCCTCCTCTGGCTAACAACCAGAGGAATATAAATATTTCCATTTTCCACCATTCAGTCAGAACTGAAGAAGCTTTTTGGATGAGAAGTGAAATGTTTTCAAAGAAAAACGAAGTCTGGTTGTCTTTTGACAAAGCATCTTTGGGACAATCATGATCTGGATAACCAAGACTCTCCACAGACATTAATAATTACTTGTTGCTTCCCTCAATGCAGCAATCTAAATTTTATGGAAAGAGCTTTGCAAAGGAGTTATCGCTTTAGACTGCCAGGCTTCCAGTAGAAACAGTTCATTTTCCTCTCTTCTCTTCACAATTGCCATCCATGTTTTATAATACATCCTGTGTTCCTGGGAGGTAACAGGAAATCCCCAATGTTAGTTGCCAATTAAGGGAATGTATTCTTGCATTCCTGTTCTGCTTCAGGCTGGCTCTCAGCTCTTTGCTGATCAATACAGAAAAGAGGAGGGTGGATGATATAAGAGTTGAGCATGGCCGCCACACAGCAAATCATTATGTGAGCATCATTAGGGATATAGTGGTAAAATGAAAGCATTATTTGCTACCATGCTGATAAATGTGTGTCTGTGTTTACAATATGCAGAGGTGGGATATACTATAGATAGAATACCAGAGAGACAGGCAGCATATTTATACACCAAGTAGGTTGAGCATAGCCTAATAGAGAAATCTCATTATGCTCTCCTTGTTAGATTTCTGGACATCTTTGAACAGTTATTGTAAGAGCAGCCAAGTTTTAGAACAGCTATCGACACAATTATGGAGTTGAGTGGTGTGGCGGCCTAGAGATGGAGCTCTCACCTCACAATCAGGAGGCTGTGAGTTCGATCTTAGGTAGAGGCAGATATTTCTCTCTCTGGGCACAATGAGAATATATCTGCTGAACAAAACTCCGCATTGGTGACAGGAAGGGCATCCGGCCCTTAAACGCTCTTCTAGCTCCATTCAGTTGCCCAGACTCCACACAAGGGATTATGGAGTCATTAAAAGATGATGATGATAGACACATTCATGGAGGATTAAGCTACTAGCGAGTAATAATTTTCATGAGCTCTTACTACCTCTTAAATCCTAGGCACCATGTGTTCAAGTCCTTCCAATTTTTTTTCCTTCCTTGTACTTCACTTATATAGATTTTTATACAAAGAAAAATTTAGATTTTTTTAATTGCTAAAGATCCATGATTGATCCTGTTTGGGACTATTCTGAAAAAGTGAATAAATATACTATTCTGTTGGTAGTTTTTTTCACCAAGGTCATGGGTGACAAAGCCTACTAGAAATAACACACTTGGAGGCTACCCTTAGGTGATATCTATGGAGATTCTCAACCATCCAAGTCATGGTTGTCTCAAAGGTGTTTTTCTAAAAGTCTGCTGGACTTCTTGGTTCCTTTTTTTGCTTGAAAATATTTAATTTTTCATCCAGAAAGCTTCTTCAGTTTTAACTGAATGGTGGGGATTTATATTCTTTGCATTCATCTGATTGTTAGCACTCCGAGGGTCATTGAGGCCACTTAGGGGGTTTATCTGTATCTTTAAGTCACTTGAATCAGAGTGCAAATGGGTGTGAAATGCTCTTGGGACAACCTGATGACTGCAAAGAATATAAATTATTCTATACTCCACCATGCAAGTTAGAACTAAAGAAGCTTTTTGGATGGGAAGTGAAATGTTTTCAAGGGGAAAAAAAAACAAGAAAGTCCAGTTGCCTTTTGGAAAAGCACCATTGGTATTATCCTTAGGTGATGTTGAAACAAGGAAAGAATTATTTTTGTTAAACACCATTACAATTAAGAGTGATCTAAGAAACTTTTTATTTACTCTGTACAGAAGAGGAAAACAGAAAAAAAAATGGTGCCCTGTGCTGGTTAGGAGGAAGTAGAGACATAGTTGTGTCTCCAAAACTGATTCAAAAAATAGATAATATCTGCGGGATTGGTTGGCTTTGAAAGCTCATTCCCAAATTCTTTGTATTATTTTGGAATTAAATATCTGGTTCAATTCAAAGTTTCCTCTGCTAGAATACTTGTTTGGTTGAGTTTAAATTTGAACCATCTTCTTCCCTTTCATTCCCTTCCCTATGCATTTCTCTCTGGGTCATTTTTAAAAAAATTCTGGGCTGCAGAATGAGAATTCATATTTTTTCTGGCATGATTCCATTCTGCTGTAGTAATGAAAATCGTAGCAGGTAACCCATAAAAAAATAATGTAATGGACTCTGGGATAATAAATACTCATGTAGAAATGAGATTAAAAATTCCCTTGTGTGCTATAAATCTATATTGAATTACAGGTTTGTTTTTCTTAGCTCCTTTGTTTTACAGAAGCCAAAGAAGTCCTGTTTTAACAGCCCTGCTTGCAATGAGAGGAATGTGGACTCTTTCAAAAAGCAATATTTTTTTTCTTGTTTACTCATGTTCATTTGAATTGTATTTTGTTACCCCCCCCCCCCCCCCAACAAAAAAAATTGCCCTGTGCACAGTATGGAAACCACACAGATGGTGGTATTCCTAAGTGATTGTTATGCCAAAAATCTAATCACACTGACTGATAATTACATTCTACTTAGGTTGCAACATAGCACCAACAACCCTTCTGATCAGAAGTAGACAATTCCTTTCCTCAGTCTTTATGAATTTTCATTGGCTTCTTCTAGTAACAGAATAATAGAAGTTTGAAGGGACCTTGGAAGTCTTCTAGTCTGACATGGCTGCAGCATTTTGTTCCAGTTGAAATATCTGGACATCTTTTTTAAGGAAAGGTCCTCATGAAGAATGAATGAATGAATGAATGAATGAATGAATGAATGAATGAATGAA